GGGCTCAGCCTCCCGGCGCCTTAGCATTCCTGTAGAGTGGGCTGCAGAGACATCTGGTGGCAGATTTATCGCTCCTGCAAGGAAACCTGCTCTGTGCCCTGCTAGCACCGGGCTGAGACTAATGGTTCTTCTCAGGCTGCGTCTGTACACATAAATCCCGTGTCTTGATGGTTCTTTCTGTGGTGAAAGGCCCCTTCTCAAATAATCAAGAATCTACAGGAGGAAGCTAAAAGACTGGAGCCTTCGGGTGTCTAAAAATAAAGCAAAACATGGAAGTGTGGCCCAGGAAGCTTCGAAGAAGCGAAAGGCAGCCAAGTGATTCTATAAAACATCGAATTTAGCACAAATTTTCCCTTTTCAAACCTAAGTAAACCACAAACTATGGCCTCCTGGTGGGCTCACACCTTCCACCCCTCCACTGCCGGCCACAGCACTTCCTCCTACCAGGCAGAGCTTTCCACAGGCCAGATGCTCAGAACCACCCAGGGCCAATCTGTGCCAAGGGTCCCCCGAAAGGCCAGTGTGAAATCATTAGCTCAGCCCAGTCTCTGCAGTCCCCATGCTGGCCTCCCACCCTGCTTCTCTTTTTGAATTTAACCTCCAGGTACAAAAGTGGCTGCAGCAATGGATTTGAGATTATCTACCTCTGGGAAGCTTCTCTGAGCTGAAACTCAAGATCAAAACTTGCGAAGCCCTCAGGAGCCAGTGGAAATATAAGGGATGGTGTCCATTTACATAAAGATGGCCCTATTACCCTGCTAGCTGCTGGGAACTGTTGAAGCAAGGAGGTGCTGGCAATCACAACGGGCTGGCAGTACCTTCTGCCTACGTGCAGAGAGGAACTCATTTAAAAAACCAGCAGCAACAGCAACAAAATGTAGTTTATGTGATGGTCAGATTTCCATAGGCCTCTACTTATTTCTGAATGGCAAAACAAAGGCAGGGAGCCCGTTAGAAAGAAGAAATAAGGGAAAATGCAAAACGAAGAACCCAAAGCCACCTACAGAATTCTGATTTGCTGAAACTTCACAGCCATCCATGGGATCACAGCAAAATATCTCAACTCTCCTGAGTCATCTTCCAAAGACACTCTTCTCCGAAATGACCCAGAGAACTACTGGTACAACCCGGCAACTCTTGCCAACGAATGAACAACACTCTACCTGAGGACCGACTATGGCAGAAAGAATCTTCTGTACGTTCATACAGTGCACGAGAGAATATTTCATAACCTACCCTCCATTTTCAAGTTCTAGACATATATAATCCTTATTCCTACTTCTTTTTGCCATTTGAAGCTATACTTTCTCATGGGATCCCATCTAGGGAATCAGGGATTCGCTTTGAGTTGCAAAGGTAGTTGTAGTTTTTGTGTTAATGTGACATGCTCACAACAGGGGCGGGATGCTAGCAGGATGGAGGGACTCTGTGTGCAGAAGCTCAAATCATTACCTTCAGCCACGTGGCCAAGCAGCTATCGCCCTGCTTTATCAGAGGTGTCAGCTGAGGCAAAGGCACCACCAAGAAGTGAAGGAGAAATTTCAGGGGGAGGAAAACTGAGTCACAGCAAATGGGCCATCCTTGCTGTGCTTTGTTTTATGAGTTCTTCTATACACTGGAGCTGGCTCAAAATCAACCACTGGCAAGAATAGCTCTTTAAACATTCCAAATCTAAAAGTGTTCCATTGCCTCTCTGCAAAAGCATTTTAGGAAATAGTAATTTATAACAAAAGCAACCCTTGGATTCATTCACAGCCGACCATAATTGACGGGAACTATTTAATGCACACTTCACAAGGCTAATATTGTACTACAGTGCGCTAAAGCACAACACAATTTCAGCAAATTAGTTCCTCAAAACATCCATCCCAATAATGTCTTTTAAAATTCACACTTTGCACGTTAACTTTTATGCTGACAACTCTATCTTTTTGGGTTGGGAAATGCAAATGTGGGACATTTCATTTTCAGAAAGCAGAGGGAACTCTGACTTGTCTCAAAGCCTCCAATTTGACTAAATAATTTAAACACCATATTCTTTCTCTCAAATGGAGATTTGACCTTAAAGAAACCACAAGCCTCAAATTAAAATAAACTCTCTTTAATTTGCTGAAAGCTAAATCAAGCAAATACAAGTACTAATTTTATGGGCATGTGAATGGAGTAGGGTTTTTTTGTTTTTTTTTAATGATGGACATATTTGAACTAGTACAAAAGAAATAAAATAAATAATTAAATACAGCTGGAATTGAACCCATATTTCACAAATCCTACTGTGGAAAGTGTTTTATGTTTTAAGTGTACATATCTGTATCTAAATACATGCCAACCTCTTGGGTAAGCTGATTTGAATTTAAGAGGGCAACAGTTTCATTCCCATGGCAAAGAAAGGGTTTTGATCACACACTTGAAATCCAATTTTGTCATACATCAGATCTGCTAAGAATGTCATGAGAGCCTCACAAAAAGGAAAACAAGATTTTTTTTGAGGGGAGAAAAATGTAGGTGTATATATACTTGTGTGTGTATAAAAATTTAATCTAATAATTTGATAAAAACCTGTTTAAAGGTAGACTTTAAGGATTTAAAGGTGGTATTAAATTAATCTGATGTATTCCAACCACACTGAACGGCTTTTTTTTTATTGCATTTCTTATGCACTAGCATTCATGTACCTTGGTTTCTAACTCAATTAAAGTGCCAATATAATCCCCATTCATCATAAAAACAGCTCTTTATAACGTGCAAAATAGTTTGGCTCGGAGGTGGATGTCATAATGAGGGTAGAATGTATAAGCATTAACGTCGTTTTTTTCTAAGTGTAGTTTTATTAGAAAAATGATTTTCCACTTTGAAATTTACTAGGTCTAACAGACAGAGTTGGATTTATGACTGTTAGCAGAGTTATGAGTATAGCAGAGGCAGCATAATTAAGAGCACAGGCTTTGGCATTGGACAGAGCTGGAACCAAACCCCTGCCCTCCCACGGTTAGCTCTGCTCTTGGCTGGCTAGCTGAACCACTCTCCGGCTTGGTCTGCTCTACTGGAATTTGGGGGTGATTACATCTCACAGAGTTGATGTGAAGATGCTTAAGATGTATACAGACCCTAAGCACAGTACTAATCATACAGAAAACCCTAAAAATGTTACTACTCTCTTTTTATAGTCAAGTTTTCATTCAGCATACTAACTAGTTCCCTGCATGTTGGAAGTATTTAAAAAGTATTTGCTGGGCAGTTCCTGTGGCTCAAAGGAGTAGGGCACCGGCTCCATATACCAGAGGTGGCAGGTTCAAACCCAGCTCTGGCCAAAAATAAATAGATAAATAAATAAATAATAAAAAGTATTTGCTGAATGAATAAATTTTGGAAACAATGAGAAAGTTGTCAAGAGCAGTGGTTTTGGAACCCAAAGGCCTGAAATCAACTGAGTCCAGCTTCTCCGTTAGTCAGGTGGGTCATCTTTGAGCCTCATTTCTTCATCTGTGCTTACTTGCCCGTGGGGTTATTGGGAAAGGGCTTTACAACTGGGAATGTTGGTACCAGAAGTCATAGGGGTATGTGATAGCTTTCCACTCCATCCACCTACTCCATCATTTCCTTACCAT